GAGCACTTTGGATGTGGGCTAACTGTTAAAAATAATTTACAATAACAGATGTACTTTTTTTAAGCAGAACTTGTTATGGGGTTTTTATCCTTATTTGAATATGTTGACAGATGTTCTTATGTGTTCTTTGTTAACGCCTAGTCTACAATTGTTTCTTAATAATATTGAAAGAACTATTTGATCATCACCTACATATAAGTTTTTTTCTTTTTAACACATTGTCTTGAACACATATTCCTGTAAAACAAGTATAAATAGGCATAAAAAAGCAAGTATAAAAAAACGAGTATAATAGGTTAGGCAAATAAGGTAATCTATACTATTTGTATTGCGTTTGTTGAAGTCAAATATTCAATATTCCGCCATTTTCCTTCATGCGTCATAACCTCAAAACTCTGGCATTCATTTTGTGTACGACATGCCGGATCCCACTTTTTAGCCATTCGTATTCACAAATGTCCACCTTCACAAATCATTGCCGAAAGAATGATAAAGCAACGTACAAGAACTTGGTAAAATTTTATATGCACAGCAATAACCGGTTACATCTGCTTTTTTTGGCCCCACTCGCAACTGCGATCGACACACCCTTTACGCAGCTTATGTAAGCTGCTCTTTAAAGAAATGCATATATTACTAAGAGAGGCGTTATTTAGAATAAAAATAACACATTTCAAATTTAGAATAAAAAGTTTATTTAGTTAAGAATTGATCTAATATTTACAAGATTAAATCTATCTAAAATTACATATTATCTAATAAACCTAATCCACGCGGCATGGTGCCAAGAACGCTAGCTGCATTTCCTCGCTGAATAGTTATGCTTAACCTTTGAGCGAGAAAAGAACCAATAAAAATAACTAATTTCAAATTTTTACGGTTAACCCGACATTATTATATGTATGTCCAATAAGTGATCGTGATTGAAATGAAATAAATGTGTTTGTAGGTAGGTATTTATGCGCGCATGTAAGGAATTATATTTCTTTGGTGTAACAAAATAAAAATAAACCTAAAATTAAGGTTAGTCGATAAATTTAACTTCTCTAGTAAAATAATTCGCATGAAAGTTGTGTGAAAGCGTCCAGGCTAGAGTAAAATTTCATATCAAAATCAAGAAATAAGTATTATAATAAATACTTAATCATTTGTTGACAATTAGTTTTTTGAAACACTATTCATTACCTGTTGGATTATTGTTGGCTCGATTAGAATTTTTTGGCAACGGTTTAAGAGCCGTGAGGGATTATTCCGTTATTGTTAAATCCTTTTGAAAAGAACGCAGGTGTCTTCATACCAAATACGTCTAATTGGGTTTGGTAAAGATTCACTTTTTGCCTTCGAACAAGGTAATGAGTTACCTACATATGGATAACTTGTATGCACGTACTTTTTAGCTATTTATCACTTATTCTGTGTCCCTATATCGGTCACAAATAACAGTCAAAAAACCTGTTTCTATTGCAGACACGTTTTATCCGTAGTACGAATAAGGTCTCTTCAACCTGGATTCTTAAACTGTATTTTTAAAAATAACACCATAGTACGTAGGTATCCCAGTTCATCCATAAGGATGGTACTAATATAAGGAAAATATCGCATTTACTCGATAAATTGAGGATTTTACACATATTTGACAATCTTTATCTTTTTCGGTAAGAAAAAAAATGCTCTTGACTTGAACTTAACTTGAAACCGTCATAGACAATACCTTTTTTTTTAAAAAATTGCCTTCACTTTAGGGTAACATTATCCTGTGTAGTAAGGACGTTTTTACAAACATAAATTTCACGTGGACTAACACCCAGATGCGAAAGAACTATCTGTGGGTCGCACAAATAGTTGTCCCGTATGGTTATCGAACGCACGACCCCCGACGCCGAAGCCAATACCTTGGCAACTGCGCCACGGAGTCATCATCGTCAATATAAAAAGCTTTACCTTTATCAATGAACAATAATCGATACTGTAACCCGTTTCGAAACTATGTTTCGTTTCGTTCTTCTCAACAGAAACTACTTTCCGAACCAGTGGTAGCTTACTTACGAACGTATTAATTTTTATGTTAAATATTGACGTTTCATAAGAACGCACAAGCGTCTATGACTAAGACTCTATGTGAATAAATATATTTTTAACTTTGATTTTTTTTGATTTTTAAATCACCGTCATTGCAGGCAGAGTTCCGAAGCCTCGTTGCATGAAGGGCGAGCGAAGGCTGTGACGTCACAGGAGCGCGATGGCGCTAAGGTCGGGGCCGCTTGAAGGTCGCGCCTAAAGGTCACTCCGCTTGCGACTCTCGAGGAGAGAGATTTCTCCGAATAAAGTCTCTTCAAAGCGACTTTGTAAAGTGTATGAAATAAGCTGCATATAATCACCGCACTATATATATTATTGCATTGCAATCGTTTTAACTCTCTAGGTTTTGAATAAATGACATCCTGAAGTTATATAATTATTATTTAAGTATGCACTATATATTATGTATATTATGTGCTAGCTGTTCGGACAGACTCCGTTCTTTTTTTTATAGTATTAAAACCTTCCGTAGACCTTGAGGAACATACAAGAAAATAAATTAGCCGAATTGGTCCAGCCATTCTTGGGTTATACGCTTACCAACATTCATTTTTATCTGCTTTACTCAGACCTTACAGTTTAGATATCTTTATACAGCGTGTCGGTACAACCACGACAATAAATGAACACACGTCTAACGCTACTTGCCAATAATCATAAAAAAATGTAAAACGTTAAAATAATCCATAATTAAAAAAATATGTTTTTCAAACTAAGTAAATAAAAAAGAAACAAAATTTGTAACATCCTTACGACTACAACTGACTGATACATATATTCCGAGATTTTTTCATTCGTTGCCACAACGTCGCATTACAAGTCTCTCCTTCTAACAGTATGTTTCATCTCTTTTAAATTCATTCAGCCCATTGCTTTGTGACCTTTACAAATGAACTTCACATTGCCGTTTTAAGGGTAAGGGTGTTCTAAAAATGTTTGTTTTATAAAATTTAATAACTCTTTAAACATTGATGTTTAAAGAATGTAAATGCTTAATACAATTTTAAAAAGTTATCCTCTATATGTGCGTTCATTTATTGTCGCGGTTGTAACGACACGCTGTATAAGCTAAAGATCGGTCGAACTCGATAACGTCAAATAGAGATCCATTAGAGTTAATTTCGTTTGTCAAATGCAGTCTTATCGATAAACCTTAAGTCTTTAAGACTGGAATTAGCCTAAGCGCATTTAATGAGTTGGTACGGTCGTTACGGCAATCCTTTAGGCATGTCTAGCAAGCGATAGTCTGTAATTTTACATTTTCTACGAAAAAGATACACCACTACTTAGACACTTACTAATGTGAACATAGGTTGTATTGGAATTATTAATTTATTACTTATATAACACGCTTGCTTTAATAAATTTCTTAAGTGAAGCAGTTGAAACATAGGTATAATAAATATTGAGGTAAGTGTTTAAAGAAAACGACAGTAATCTCTTTTCTGATATATTTTAAATATTTCCTTATTCTTGCGGGCAGCATTACAGAATAGAACTTATGTTTGTGCAAAGAAAATATTTAATTACAGTATAGAAAGGTTAAAATAAGAGATCAGTCTTGTCTAAAAAGAAAACCATAATATCAAAAAAATCGAGTACAAAATTCACCAAAGATAATTTTTTGTATTATACCAATCAAATAGCAAGCTCTTATGTACTATTTTTTTTCCGATATCCATTAACTGAACCGCACCGAGAGAATATTTTCCATTTTCTGTATTTTCCCGGTCGTATTGCCAGGGTAAAGTGTTCGTAGAAGAGGGCGCGTGGTCGCAAGCCCTCGGGAGAGTCCACCCACGTCACCACCAATCGCCCACGCCTTCCTTTACGAGGGCGCAAATATAGTCTGTGTGTCGAACGCCGCATTCGTTGCGAATTCTTTTATTGGGCAGGCTATTTCCCATTTAAAAGCGAACGAAGTAGGTGTTTGGTGTAAAAATCTGATTTCCGATACTTCTATGGGTGTGCTTAAGTGCGATTAATTAGATTTAAACCAGCATTGTAACGTGTAAATTTGTTGGTGTGTGTGTGTGTGTACGACCCTTTGAATACGTACACACCGCACGTTTAGGATGAACGGATTTGGATTGAGTCTACGGTCGAGATAGATAAAGCTGGATGTAACAAATACGATACCCCCACCCCTCCAACTTAAATTTTTAACAGAGAAGAATGAAGCAAAAATTTCATGATTACATATTATTCGTACTGTAATTACCAGAATCTATTAATATATAATAATGTAGTCCGCAAACGCTGAAGTAAAATTAACTCAACCATGTTTCTATTTAGGATAATTCAGGAAAGTCCGTTTATAGAGTCTAGAACCACGACTTTTACTTTTCATTAATCGCATTGATTCAACCCTAATGGAAGTGGGGACTTGTGTTTATATTCGCCTTACCGTCATGTGTATGGCTGAAACAGTAAGTAATAACACGTAGTTCGTCTGACTATCGTTAGCGACAATGTTGAAATGTGAGTGAGTCTAAAATACCAATGAAAAGATCGTATTCATATTACCATATACTTATTTATAATATTTTGATACAAATATGTGGTATATATAACATTTATCGAGGCATGAATTCAACTGATAATGTAGACTCTTTGATTCGTGTTCACCGTTGGCTATGAATGATATAACTCTGCCGCATAGTGGCGCAGCGTGCCTTATTTACGTGGTAATATATTAAAAACATTACCATGTGTAAGTGTGTTCGTTACACCGTCAATTCGAACTCCGAACGTGTTCTCGATAACCTGCATCGAATTACAGACATGGATTTGGCGCCAGAAAGTGTGTATTTAAAATAAAAAGACAGATGCACAGACATGCATAGTGATGTGCGGAAGTTTGGAATTTCGTCGTAGATCGATCGGAAGTTTAATGGTCACAATGGAAGTTCGTCCATTCACGTTCGAACGTAAACACGGGCGTCCTCGGCATTGCGGGGGCTGGATCGATGCAGCCTCGCTAATGTCAAGTTGAAGGAGCGGGGTGGGGGGGGGGGGGGGCTAGGGGGCGCATCGCTGCTGACGTCATACGCCCACGCGACTTCGGGGTGGCTCCCACCCCCCACAGCGACGCCGTAGCCCGTGCCATCGCCCGTTTTCATTACCAAGTCCATGATCAGATTTCATACGGCTAAGGTTAACTTTAAAGGTTTTCATGGGTAAGTTTTCGTAAGGATAAGGGATTAAATACAGAAACGTACGCGCTTAGGCCGTTTTAAATAATTATATTGACTCTATAACATTTCCTTAATATAACGCTTAACTTCTTTAGGACAGCGACATCATGTCGTTCAATACTTTTCGTTTCATTTAACCAGTAACATAACATCCTTGCAGATAAACGTATGTTGCCTATTGTAAGAAATTAAAAAATAATACGTAAAAGAAATACGGACATATCAATTATATCTTACAATATTTTTGCAGTGCCATAGATGGAGAACTTAATAAGGAAAGTCTTATTTTTGGAAGAAAAAGAATACAAGCCTCGGTCTCACTGAAGGTTCGTTGCTCCCGAATTTTCTCGAACCGCTCCAATACAAGCGCATGTTGCATAAGTCGATTTGAAGTATAACGCCCGGTTTCTGAAACACTGATCATCGTAGAAATTAACTAATCAGCTGTCAAATGGCTTTTCAAATGTTATTTGAGTTGCCAAAAGGATTGTTTAACTTTTTTAATGGATTATTCTGATCATTAAGAAGATCATTTTGATCAGTTCATAGAGATTAAATTTAATTAACTTCTACCATGATCAGTGTTTTAGACACCGGGCGTAAAAATGCTACTATTACTTAAGTCTTTTGTCCGCTGAGTTTCTTTCGCCGGTTCTTCTCAGTACAGTGGCTTTCTTTCCCGAACTGGTGCGTGGTAGTATTTTGACTATCAATAAGCGAGTGTAATACTTCTATGTCGAATAAAGATATTTGATTTTGATCTTGATTTTAGATTACACTTTGTAATGTTATTTAGAACAAGAAACACCATATTTTGAATTTAGCTTTGATGCAAGTTCATTGAATTTACAATCTTTATTGTTCTATGTAGTTTATTATTTAGTTCATTGACTTTATGCTTTGGTTATTCGCACAGTGTACATTATTTATTTTTATTACTATACAATTGCATTTGACTAGCAGTAGACACAGTATACTAATTTTAATGAAAAAACAGGAAAACATCACAGTGTATTTAAAATAAATAAAAAAAAAATCAAATTTGCGATCATTTTTATTCGTGACAGCGAGGTTTATCGATCGCAATAAAAAATTTATAGAACCCTGTATGGATTGTATACAAAAGGTCTGATTGGTGAGCCAAAGCGTTCTAGAACTTGTTAATAAAATATGTTTCCTATTTAAACTGTTGCATAAGGCGGAAATTCAAATACTTTAATGTTTCATTTTTGTTGACGTTACTTTCGATCAATTCGATTAATTGGAATAATTTCATTTTTTACGTTTTTTCAATTTTTACGTTTATTTTTTAATGTGTATATTGTATACATTTAAAAATTCAGAAACGTTACTGGAGATTTTTTGAAGGTAAGATTTTTTAAATATCATTTCTTTAAATTTTATTATTCCCTTAAAGTCCCTTAAATTCCCTTCAGTTCATTAAATTCCCTGTTATTTTATTTTTAGCTCATTCGGCGAATGTCAAACATAAGTACGGGTAGATAATCTTTTCGTTGTTAAAGGGTGGCTGTAGATCCCCCTCCGAGTGGTTACGGAGGAGTAGACCTCTTTGGTTGATTAAAGAATGGGACTAAAAGAAGCGGGATTTTTTTGTTCTTTTTTCTGTTCTTAGGTAATCTTTGTTGTGACAAGTTTGGATGTATAGTAGTGTAATTTACGACACCATAAGAATATTTTTTGCACACTTCTGTAATAAAGAATTTCAAGTGCGTGAGATAGTGTTGATTGTTATGAATAGCTCTGTGTCATTACGATTTTAGATGAAAGTGCCTGTTTCTGTGGTTTCTTGTTCTTTGTCATCTGTTGATACGGTGTAACTAGTAAGCAGAACAATACTAACGGATACAACAGAGGACTTAACAGAGGTTTGAGAATCATATTTTTTTACCATATTTTTAAAAATTTGCCTTGTAAAATACTATAATAAATAATAATTAATTTATTGTTTTTTCTAATGAAGGAGTTATTCTAATGAAGGTCTCATTAGAATAACTCCGGGGTTAGAAAAAAAGTGGGTAGCACGAATATGCAATAATATGCATCAAAATAACCTTTTCAGCATCTTTGTGAAAAAGAAGTAATAAGCTTTTTTTGATCACTTTTCTAAACACTGTCTAATTTTAAATAAGCTGACTGACTGTCCTTTTATATGCGGTTTAAGCTTGGCGAGGAAATCCTAAATTGTCATGAAATATCGACTACGTCCAAGATTTCAGAAGAAAAAAGAATTTATCGAGTTCGACGACAGGTGACGGGTCCGTCACCGTGTCCCAGGCCTTCTGCCTGTCAGTGTCATCCATTTATGGATGACCTTTAACAATAGACGCGAATATAGAGTGTCGCGAATACCACGATGTTATTCGAAAGAGATGAATAATAATGTCACGTCACTCTGGCCTTTGTTGAGTGTGAGCAACGCATCCATATTTGAGTATATACATTTCTTACTTCAGCAATGTTTGCACTTGCCGAAGGCGTTCGAACTCGCGACCTTAAGATCGCAAGTCCAACAGCCGGCTACTCAACCATCGCAGTCTTCTAAAAGTAGGGTATATTCGAATTTTAACCAGCCCCATCGTCGTTAAAATCCTGTTCCGCCGAAAACGCAATTTCCTTCGGTAACGACGCAGTTTCGCTCTCTGCGGCGATATGCGGTGCAATTGACAAGCGATCCACTCGAATCCTTTCAACAATTCAGAGAATTATCAGAAACCTATTTGTAATTTAAGTAATTTATAACATAATATATACAATGATATATAATTTTTTCAAATATCAAACTAGTCGCTCGAATAGTTATATATTTGAAATTTTATTTTGAAAATTTTGTTGTGAATGTATTATTGATTTCAATTTTTCCGGATTAAAATACATCGCTATATAAAATTTTTCTATTTGGGTATCAGCTTTGTTCTTCCCTTTGGGTGTTCCCGCTATATCTTTTGTTTCGGGCCATCGGATTAAGGTTCGTCGGAGTATCGATTGCGGCGGGCATGAATGGGGCGCTGACGTCACGGCGCTGGCGGGCAGACCGGGATGGGGTAGGGTGGCGGGGCGGAGGGCGGAGGGGCTGCAGGCCTTGAACTTGTATCGATCCCGAACGCTCTTGCACTTGAAATGCAGCCATCGGCATGGGCAGGCATAGTGAATAGATAAGCCCACGCGTATTACACGCTTTATTCTCGACCCAACTAAACATTACTTTCATTATGGAGCGAATGCTAGGAAAATGCTTTACCTCACCCATATTCCGATACTCTTGCGTCTTGCAATGTTACTGATTTAAGTTCTAGTTTTTTTTTTAAATATTAAAATGTTACCTATTAAAGTACGCTACTCGCTCGTAACTTGACGCGTCATCCATTTTTAAAACTAAGGACGTTTTATGTAACACCGTGTATTGCACAATATTTCTGCAGAATGTGGCGCGATTCATATAGCAATTTAGTTAAATTATTTTCAAAATCCATGTTCATTCAAATATCACTTTGAGCACATCTGTTTTCCAATACATGTCCTCGAAATCATACTTAGCTTTGGATAAAACAAGTTTTATTTGTAATTGTATTTATTACTCTTAGGTGCTTCGAACAACAAGTGACAATGCAGTACTAATAATACAATAATCTTAGGTCTGTCTCGATTTGTAAACAGCAAATGTTCCTCACTGTTTTATTATGAACTCGCTGAATTGGTGTAATTTTTACCGTGGTAGGGCCACGCAGCAGCCTTCGCTGTGGCACGAATGGGCAGCTCCGTCCGGGGAAGTACCATAACCTCACAGAAGACCGTCATGAAGTGGAAATGTTATAACTTCGTCTGATGAGTGAGGTAATCGCGGCCTACTTTTTTGAAAGGCAACGCGTCTATAACCACGGCTGTTGCAAATGTGCATGAGCGTTTAGCACTTAACATCAGGTGAACCATCAGCTCGCATTATAAATTAAAAAATCTGAATCGCCTAACTGGAACAAAGGTAACAGTTGGAGTGGAGGAAAATTATAGCACTGGATAGACACAACATTTATTAATTGAACCGCTTAAATGGCAGTACTAGCTGACTGTCATACATATTAAGGTATACATAATGACGGAATATTTTCTGAAGGCGTGCTCGGCTCAACTCATGCCACATAAGGGTTTGATTCACATCGATTCACGTTCCGTACTCACCACTTCATAGTACCTATTTTCAACCGACTCAAAAAAAAGAAGGTTTTCAATTTTGTTGTATTTTTTTTAATGTTTGTTATCTCAGAACTCCGTCAATTATGGACTTATTTTAAAACTGGTTCGGTTTAGCTCCAATGTGGTCCAATATCGATTTCATTGGGCCTTGTCTTCCGGAAATACAAGGGAACTCCTCAAAATCAACTGGAAAATGAATTTAAAGTCGTCTTTGATTTTGTTGATAAAAATGTTTTCACAGTAAAGATTAAAATGGGCTGTATGAAAAGCCGATCTGGTTAGTTGCCGTGTTTATGTGAAGTAATCCTTACAGAGCCATTACGAGTACAGTAAAACACCTGTTGTTGTATAATTTTACATCTTCAAATAATAGTGATGTTTATTTATTTTATTTAATTTTATACATCAACTTACAACTATCATTACAGGCTGTACCTAATGCTATAGTGAAGTTCGAATACAGTTAAGCTAACTCTGCTAATAACTATAACTAAAACTAAATACCGAGAACATGGAACGTAGCCAATGTGAACTCGTTCAAGGGGCAATGGGATAAATCTAATTCATTAGCCACTGTATTTAAAGTACAAAACGGCCTATCCAGTGGCGAATTTCGTAATAAATTGACTTGACTTGACTTCGATTCTCGGCTTATATTAGTTCTAATTAATAAATAGACGTGGAAAATGAAAATTATCGGGCACGAATGTGGGACTTTGGGTTATTTGTGCAATATTTATGTTATTTGACTGATATGCGAGATATAGGAGTATTAGAAAATTCGGTTTAAATTTATTAAGTGTAATAGCAGTTTAAAAATTAACATCATTTAGATTTCAAAGTTTTTTATAGTGCTAATCTCTGCACTTAAGACTGAACATTAAAACATGTAGAAAAAGTACGAAAAGATTGTCGCTTAATGTTCAGTCTTAAGTGCAGAGATTAGCACTATAAAAAACTTTGAAATTTATTAAAAGCAATGGCGACATCTCTCGTTCGAATTATCGTTGTAAAACGATATTCGAAATTGTTTGTATGCTGGAAAAGATATAACAATAGATGCGCCAAGCGTTGCTTCAAATGCTAAATAACAATGTAGACAGTAGGCTTTAAGATTTTCGTCGATGTGGCTATTAGCCGTTTAGCTCAGTGGCTAGAGCGTCAGGCCGCGAATGCCGAAGACGTGGGTTCGATTCCCACAGCGGCGACAATCTTTTCGTACTTTTTCTACATCATTTAGATTCTAATGTGAAAAATGTTAAATTTTCACAATGAAGATATTTTACAAAAGTTAAAGATTATTCATGTATAAAAATGGAAAACGCCAACGCCAGTTTGAGCGGTATATGTACGAACAAGGCGCTATCGATTTATCGCCGACTCTGTGACTTCTTATTCACATCAGAAAGGAAAGAGAATATAAGATCCAGTTTATGTTGTCTATATGTAACATAGTATGAAAATTGGCTGACAGAGTCACCCGCTTTATTCGTGAACTCTATGTTATGTTATTTTAGATATACGTATATACAGGGTGGCTTTTCTAAAGGTGCCCAAATTTACACAGGAAGTTCAGATTCGGTGATATAATCGTTTATTGAAATAAAAAAAAATTCAAAAAATTGCCATTCCATTCCCTATAAAACAGAACTTGTAGACAATGCGGCAGTCATTCATAAATGCGTCCTATAATTTTGAAACGCACTTGTGTGCGTTTTAGTTATGAATGATCGCGCGTAAAATAAATGTATTGCCATATATCACGCACTTTTTGAGATAAGTTCAAATGAATAATTTAATTAATTACGAGTGATTTTAAATATTTATCATTTTTATATAACACTAGCTGACCCGGCAAACGTTGTTTTGCCATATAAATTAATTGTAGGGTAGAAAAATAAATTAGGGGTGGACCACCTTAACATTTAGGGGGACGAAAAATAGATGTTGTCCGATTCTCCACCCTGGCCGATATACACACAAAATTTCAGAGGAGTTCAACTACAAACACCGTGACACGAGAATTTTATATATTAGATTATCTGTCTAGAATTTAATAAAAAAATGGATACACTTAAAAAAGCCTCCCTGTATATAAAGATGAATGTTGGTATAGTTTAATAGGATTAATAAAACACTTATTACCAAGAAAGAACCATCTTTTATATACCATATTACCGTTTTTCACTGTCAAGATTTTTATACTACCCTATATAATTTTGAACATGTACTTGTGCAAAGACATGGTAAGAAAACCCGTATTGAGTGGGTTTATACATATCTAGACTACTCCCCTTATCCAATTAATTTGGCGGGTGAGAAGGTAGCAAAGGCTAGTCCGTTGTTAAGAGAATACCACCGCTCATGGATGGCTCTACATCGCGAGGCTCATCTTTGCGAGGATGAGGTCCTTCTTGAATGGCCCTGCCGATCCGTGCAAGCACTATTTTCCAAATCCCATCAAAAAGTATTAAGGAAGTCAGTAAAATATTTCATACCGTTAACGAACGGATGAATTAACGAAAATCAGTGACGATTTTGGCGAACGTTAGTCATTCTCGCCAAGCGTCGCGTCGTTGGCCGTCCCGCGGACGTCACGACCACGTTTCGTCATTCGCGTCATTCGCGTCATCCGAGTCATTCGTGTCGCGTGACGTCATATGACGGCGCGACGCCGCGACGCCGCGACACGTCACGCACCGCGTCCGCCGTGCGAAATTCGCAAACGACGTGTAACTAAAACTGACGTTCTTTTCATGGTATAATTGCTAACACAGTGAAAATGTCACTGATAAGACAAAGACAGCTTAGAAAGGGATGAATGACAGGTGGTAAGACTGTCGTAATACGGGGCCATTGAGTTATTATTTACAGTACATAATATTTACATGTAAATAATAACTTAAGGGAAATATGCATGTAAACTTTAATCGATACAGTGATATTTGCTCGTAAGAAATTTGAGTGACGCCACGCTCTAACGAGGTAGGCAGGAGTGGATCTGATCCGTTAGAAGATAACTCACAGTGACAGTAGTGAACTTTTTCTTTTTTTTCCCCTAATTGTTTATCCTTCATAAATAAGTAAAATGTGTTTAAGTAAGGCGTGGTAAAAACAGCAATAAGTCCAGTGGAAGATTGTGTAAGTCTAAGTAATCATGAAATAGGTACCTGCAACTGAGTTGGCGTTCGTGGCAAAATATCCATTTATGTAAAGTTTGTTTAAAAACGTTCATGAAACGTTTCGGGTCTAGACTGTGATTGTGCTCTACAATTTTATTGATTAGAATTAAACTTTTTATAGCCCCGTAAAAATAACAATATCGTTTAACAAATACATAAGAAAAAGGTACTGCACGACTTTCTCTTTGCTTTTTTATATAAATAAGTTGTAGATATTGGCGTTTCGTTTAGTGAGTGTATTGACATGAAGTCTACTCAAGGCTTCCACAATCTACCTTGCCAAGAAGTTCTTGGCCATGTCCCCTGATGTTGATTGCCTGCAAACTCCTACACGTTTGCATAAAAAAACAAAAGTAAATTTTTCAAAAAATAATATCTAATGTTATCTGGTGGTCTTTGCATGTTTCTTTAAGTAACAACATTATTAACCGACTTCAAAAAAGGAGGAGGTTTCTAAATTCGACCGTATATATTTTAATTTTTTTTATGTGTGTTCGGGGATAACTTCGTCATTTATGAACCGATTTTGATGATTTTTTTTTTGGTACCATGATAAGGAAACCCAAATCTGATGGTGGCAGCAAAAATTGTAGTGGACCGAATTACGAATCTAAACCATTCTCGAATCGAACTGATGACACACAAAAAAATTTATTCAAATTGGTCTCGCCGTTTAGGTGGTGATCAGTGACAAACACAGGCACAGATGAATTCTATAATTATATAGAGATTGTAGCGCCGCAAGGAGCACACGGGAGGCCTT